TAGGTTATCTCAGCTCCAACGTAAAAAAAGAAGAACAGAAAAAGGAGGCAGAGCAGGGCCTTGTGATATTTAGCTCTTCGAGATTCCTGAGCAGATGCTGCTGACTTTTCGTGCTTCGAGGTTTTCTTGAAAAACAGAGCAAACAGGAAGACAGAAACTACAAAGGTGTAAGTGCCGACGGAAGCATAAGCCCACAGTAAGTTCAAGTCATCAGGTGCTGCAAACAGAAGGTCTGGGTCGGCTTCAGATGATCGGTTGAGGGCTGGATGGTGAAGGTCAGGCTCTGTGTGGTTTACAGCTGACACTGTCGTCCCCAAGGCCAATTTTGCCAGAATAGGAGCCAAAAAGGCACCCAAGGCAAAACTGAAGTGTAAGGCCTGCATATGTGGCGCTCCTTTGTCCCCCCATAGAGTCAAGATAAGGACGTTGGCACCTACCAGTCAAACAAGGGGAAATGATGTAAGTTAAATATACCATCTTTGTTAAAAAGAAAAGTTTATCACTATCAGAGAGAGGATGAGTGTCTTTTACATGCCATGAGCATTATAATGTTCTCAGTTATCAAACAATGTACCTGAGTGAATTCTATGTTTAAAGAACTCTAACCCCTGCTACCAAAGAACTCTGCATATAACATTTCCTATATATGCATGGAATTGTGCGAGCTGGTAAACTACTACCTTCTGCAGCCAGACATGTTGGATACCAGCCTATGGGGTTAAGTTGCTGGACACATGGACTCTGGCTGTGTCGGAAAAGAAAATATACATAGTGCTCTGAAGTCAAGATAACCACAGCTGAGGCAACTAAGAACATGGGCTGCTGAAATACTGAATTTCAGAGTAATTAAGTTGCCAGCCTTAGAGATCTCTAAATAGTTTTCTTAATTGACAAAACTTACTATTTGGAGAAGTCTTTAAACTGACTCCCAAGGTCCTGCTCAGTTCCTGTGCTTGCCTCAGTCTCTCCTTCCTTTGTTAGAAAACCAAATCACTTATCTCTTTTATTTAAGCTGTTTGTCATTCACTCCTTTGGGAGGTTGTGGGACTGGTAACTTGTGATACAGACATATTAGCAAAGGGTTTTTATAAAACAATCATAACAGCCAGATGTGGTGGCACACACCTGTAATGCCAGCACTCAGGAAGCTGAGGCAGGAAGGTCCCTCTGAGTTAGAGGCCAGCCTGAGCTACATAGTGAGTTCAAGACCAGGCTGGACTACATAGTGAGGCCCTGTCTCAAAAATAAAACAAAACAAAAATAACAACAGACGGGAGTAATTCTCATAGACCTATTTAATTGTGAATATTTTAAATATATGAATTTAATAGGCAAAATTGTATCATCTAACAGTGGCTATATTTCCAAATCTTACTGTACTGACAATCAGTAGAAAATTCTAATTGGATATTATTTATATATAAAGCATATGGAAATATATGGTCAAGAATCTGAATACTCAGGACTCCACTGCGAACTTTAGAGGAAATAAGAACACATTTTAGTGTGTCCACATACACTGGAAACCTATAATGTGAAAGGTTAGAGCATTAGGTCTTTGGCTATCTTTTTAAAAAATCAGATATTTTCAGATAGACATATAATCTTACCCTGTAAATTTAACACTAAAGTCAAACTGAGCATTAAATATTTTTGTGATTTTTTTTCCAGTACCAGGAATCAAACTCAGGACCTTGCTCTTGCCAGGCAGGTGTTTGTGCCACTGAGCTACATCCCTGGCCCTTCTGTGATTTATAAATAATAATAAGCAGGAACCAGAGGCCTAGAAAGCTGGATTTGGCAGTAATCTATATAATGTGTATTTTTCGTAGGTTTTCAAAGTGTGATGACACAATGAGAAGCTCCACTGTGGACAAACAGAAGCTGTTGAGAAAAGGATACAAAAGGAAGACAAGGGCAGTGATACACACCACAGGTTTCTACTGGCCCAGTCACAGAGTACATCTTATATTGGATGGCTGCTCCTATGCTTTCACTGCTAACTAGTAATTTGAAACTTGCTTTATACCACTACACTATCATTTTCTCTAATATTATAATCATATAATTCTCTCCTGAAATGAAAGCCTGCTCACCTGTACTGTAATTACCCACAGGCGGGGTCCTTCTCTGTGTTGACATTGTAAATCAACCATCTCCCATAGAACAAAATCCTTTACGGTCACTTCACAGTTGGCTGCTCAAAACTTGGTGCTCTGACCGGCAAAAAGAGGAGCTGCGGGAAGGGCAGCTCCCATGGGGTGACCCATGAACAACTCCGTAAGTCCATGTCATTTCAAGAGCTTTGCAAATTATTTCTCTAGTACTGAGTCCACACTCCCAGAAATGGCACTGAAGATTCACTAACCTGTATCCAGAACACCAGCTGCAGCGCCAAAGACAGACATCACAGCAATCAGTAACGCTGCTGTCTTGCAAAAAGGAACAAGGTAAAGGCCAGCTGAGGTAGCCAACACTGACAACCCTGAGAAGAAAAGGTGAAAGTCGGCTATAAAAAACAGTATTCAACAGCTGGGGGTGCAGCTCTGCAAGAGAACACTTGCCCAACATGCTCAAGGCCCTGGCCTATCCTGAGGAACACAAATCAACAACCCCCGCCCCATATTTATGCAGAGTCAGGCCTAAAGTCAATACCTTAAAAACTTCCAAAACTGCAAAGTAAGATCCAGTTAAACCTGAGTAATCATGAGAAGATGACAGTTAGGGCTTCTACTAGTAGTTTCACCATCTGAATCTTATATAAGTTTTATGGAGTATAAAATATAAATTATTAATAGTGTTATTATTGCCCTAGTAATAATCAAACCATAAATTGTACTACTAAGAAAAGCTTTATAACAAGAAGAAAGAGGCCAAAAATTATTTACTTAAATGCTTCACATTTGTCTTAGTTACTTTTCTCATTGCTGAGACAAAATACCCAACACCCAAACTTAAAGGAGGAAAGGTTTATTGTAGCTCACAGTTTGTAGAGGTTTCAGTTCATAGTTGGCTGGCAGCAAGGTAGGGTGGCATGGAGAGGGACATCACAGAAGAGAAACAGTTTGTGATGGGCAGCAAAGCAACAAAGTAGTGAAGCAGCAGCAAATGGCAAGCAGGGGTCTTCTCTCTGTCCCTTATATCCTACCCATGCTACCCACTCTTAGGGCAGGTAGCACTCACACCCAGGATGGGGCAGTCTTAATCCTAGCATTGTACCATGAATTAATCCTAGCATCATATCCTTAATCCCAGCATCTCACATCCTAGATCCAGCTACCTCCAAAAAGCCCAGCCTATGAGAGCATAAGGCTTTGGGAGGACATCTAGATATAAGCCACAACATTTAAGAACCAAAAGTTAATATAAAAAGGTAAAAAAAAAAAAAAAACTGTAGTCAGTAGAGTAGTTTGTAGTAAAAGTTTACTAAATAGTTTCAGGAATAGGAAGGAAAATTCATGAAATATATTCTCCTAGCCCATTTGGGAAGTAAGAAGTATTATTTATTGCTCATCAGCAATAAGATATTCTCATTGGTTCCAAAGGTGTTTTATCACATTAAATCTAAATTTTATTTTAAAATATCTATTTATTAAAAAGCGAGTGTGTTAAAAATGCTTTGCCTAGTGATGTCTAGGATAAGGAAGGGTATTCTGCGGGCATCACTGCCATGCGCCAGTGGGAACAAAAATGTAGCTGAGCCCCTTCATTTTCAATAGAGAAGCCATAGACCCTGGGCAGGCTCCAGGAGCTCATTCTGATGGCTATGGCCTGAGATCTGCCCTCCACCCTCCTAAACAGAGCTTGGGCTCTCCGGTGTGTGGCCCTGGAGTGGTGTGCTAACTGCTACGAAGGTTGGGAAGGCTCAGGATTGCACACACACACATACACACACACACACACACACACACACACAAACACACATACACACCCACAGGGCTGTTTCCAGAGGGCCCAGCACGGATTCCCCCTCACTGCCAAGGCAAGGAACAGCAGGGAGCCCAGCCTCGCGGACAACTAATATACGCCTTTCAGTTGTCAGCCATTCTGCAGGCTGCTGTTTTTCATACGTACAGTCATATTGTAAATACAGTTACAGTCACAAAGCAGAAAAAAGTCAGTGTTTTCTTACCCAAAAGTAAAACATGATTCATGTATTCAAAAAGAATACCACCAATCATAGAGCCACACAAGACTCCAGAGGCTCGGCTCACAAAAATTAGAGAAAGACTGCTGATATTTCGGTTTACATTTGTTGCCAGATCTTGAAACGTGGGTCCCAGTATACCGGCACTCATTCCCTAAAATTTAAAAAGACAAAATCTTTTTACTTACAACCATTAAAATGATGTCAAAGTGGTAACTTGTTCTGTTATTTAAAAAACAAGGTGGAAGAGGGAATTACAGAATAATGTAGGAAATTAAGTGTCACAGCCAGAAAAAAGGCACTGAGTATTATTACTATGGACTTCCACAACTTCTCTTGCATTCTTTATCCTCAAGTAAAGAAAGAATTCTTCTAGCTTTCTGCTGCAATTGTTTAATTTTGGAACAACACCTTAGAAGACTATTCTGCATTCACTATTAATAAATAACAAAACCCGTCAAAACACTATATTTTGAAATATATTACATACATGAATAACAAACTTAGATGTTAGAATTTATCAGTACATCAAGACATTTTCCTATGTTGCATATTAAGACAGCAATATATCTGGTGCACATGGAATCCTTCCTTTTAACTACACATAGCCAATCTATGTAAGAGATAAACAATTTGAATGTTTCTGAATCTACTTTTTTTTGAAAGCAAAAAACCAGTTGGGACTACTGGCTATCAAGATTCCTTAGAGAAAGCAATTCTACACACACACACACACACACAGAGAATGATACTAACACAATTTTACTAGAAAACGTGTTAGAAAGGACCGAGGGTTCTGGTTTCTTTTCAAAGGTACTGTGTTAGATCTTTTAAGAAAAATGTGTGTAACAGTGTATGAATCAAGAATTGATTCTAATTACACTGTTCTGCTCCACACGAAAGCAGGGTGCACCTCCTGTCCAAGCAACACGCGTTTCAGACTAAGAAACATGGTGTGCACAAGCCCCCGCAAGCATCATTACAACAGAAGCCTGGATACTGGCTCTAATCAAACGACTTTATCCTTCAAGGGATCTAGAAAACCTGGCGCACAAGCCGAGCTCACCTGACTTCTGCAGTGATGATTTTCTCATCCTCTCCCTCATCAAGTCCATAACTAACTGGGGCTCAGACTCTCTGAGATGCTAAGTAGCCAGCGACTATCCTCAAAGGACGAACTCTTCCAACTCTGCAAAAATCTACAACTAACAAGTTTGGCAAGAAGAGTTTGGTAAAAGGCACATGTGGCCGTGGAATTTGCTGAAAACAAAAACAAAACAAAGCAAAGCAAAACACTTAAGGTTCTGAAGCCCGGATACTTTTAAACAGAACGGTGCGGGGTAAGAGGCGTTCCTAGTTGTAACACTTCAGCTGTGCGAGCTGGAAAAGTGCACTTCCTCGCTGGCCCTATTCCTCTACCTG